CTTATGCAGCGGTAAAAGGTTACTCCATCCAAGGTCATGGCTTCGAGTCATGAAAATAGCCTCTCTAGAAACTAAGGGTATGTCTTCATACGTGAACCCCTTCCTAGACACATGCAGTGCTGGAGATAGTGCACTGGGATGCCGTTTGTTATGTAAAATCTGAGCTTTAACTTCGAGAAAACAGTTATCTCAATGAAACAAAACACGGGATACATTTTTCTTATTATATCACCAGTAAAGTCCTCTTCTTTTCTTACCAAAAAAAAAAAAGTCCTCTTCTTGGAAGATTTTTTGGTAAAAAACAGGAACAACAAATAAATTCATGGTTCATATTGTTACCGGAATGACCATGCCCCTTCCAAACCGTAATATTGATATGATCTTTCTAATATAGGTACTCGTACGATCCAGGTTGCCGAATTGACAATCCAATCAATCCCACCTCATACTCATTCAATTAAGAGATATTTCATGAATGTGGTATTGTATATTCTTTGATTTAATATATGCTTTCAGGATTAAAGAGACTGGTAGGGCCAGTAGTGGTTTACTTTATCAGATTAGTTATAGATAATGTTGCACCTTATAGATACAAAGCATATGTAACTACAGAAGACTATTACGTGAATTTAACAGTTGTATACTCTTTCTCATGATAAAATTTTTTCCTCATAATTTACAGCTCTGTTTCTGTTTTAATTGCCAATTAACTGTACAATATCTAGATTGCGACAATAATGACTGTCATCACGAATCACATAAACACATTGTGTGCTCACTGTGCAATGCAAGGATCTTGCCACCAATGACATTTCGAAGCAATGGAGGGGGCAAAGAAACATAAAAACCTTTGATTACTCCTAGCCGGGAAAAATCTGTGATTTATTGTAGCCAGCAAACAGATTACAGAAGTCTTGCTTGCCGATTGAAAAAGCAATTGATCATCATAAGAAAACTACAGTTTACTGCATGTCTCAAGTCATGGAAAATCGTCCTACTTATTGCTCTTGTAAGCATAAAAAGGGTCCTACATGTCAAAGGTCAGAAGTTGCTGCATCACATGATTCGCAGTGACACGACTTCATATAACACAGCAGACTTTAATTCCACAGCTATGGTGCAGTTTCTTTCGGGAACTGCTACTTCAACCAAAAACCCCACATTCTAGTACCTAGACTAAAATTACGAGGGAAGAGAAATTTGACAATCGCTACTTGAGCGAAGATCCAGAGGTAGATCAGATCTCCATAGTTAGGTTGAAGGCTCTGTCAGCTGTCAAATGCATCCGGGACAACTTGATGAATGTACAGTTGGAATTGGCTTACGCATGGGGCACGTCATGAGGTATGACCGATCAAATGTAACTGTGCAAGAACCCGTTTCAAACTGATTTTGCCAAATCACCTCTTTCATCTTGGCCTAATGTCCTCCCTCCTGCCATCAGAAATATAAAAATTAGCTTGGAAGCTTATATTAGATCAATACAGATGCCCAAATCGAACAAATCCACCTAAAGATGAAGCTCAATTTGGAAGCAAGATCACTATTTCATTGAGGGCTCCTTTCTTTTCTTAGCATCAGCATTCCTAGTAAATCTTAATCACTGTCACATGAATCCTGGTACCGATAGGCATATACAAAAAGTATATCATGGAATGTGCTCCTCATGGGTATCCACATGCAAAGTCTTGGTCCTCCGACTCCATGATACATGGAAAAGACATATCGAGCCATGCCACAACAACATGATATTAAACAATCACCGGTACCCCAAAGTTTTCACAGATTCAGAGATTAGCCAGACCCAAGAGGAACTCCTCGCAACGAGATCATAGAAAATGGAAAACTTCTTTTAACAATCAAGACATATTCAAGAATAAATACATTTTCTTCAAAAATGTTTCGTGCAAATTTCCAGCCAATTAAAAGTTAGATTTGTAATAAAAGTTCAAGATAACGTTGGAACTCCAATGTTGACTGACCTTGTCCAAGTCTGTGCGAAGAAAACGTTGTGTTACATTCGAAACAGCAACTGGACCAGCAGGTTCTGCATGGGGCTCCTGCGAAGTGGCTTCTTTTCCATGCACATCATCAGCTTGCCCATCATCGACTGGCTCCGGCTGGATACTTCTAGAAGCCTTTGACTCACTATTATAATCACCATTTCCAATACCCGTACTTGAATCCCCATAAGTTCTTTTCCTGATACAAGAATAGAGAATCAGAACTGTACCAACATTTATCAAGTAAAATCGTTATCTAAATGGGAAAAACAAAAGACTCACCTGCTACAGCTTGAAAAAGGTATAGGGAGAGTGCTAGGCTCATTAAAAAATAAAATTCCACGGAGAGGTTTTCCGTCTATGACAGTTTCAATGGTGTATTGATTTCCAAAATTCTCCGTCACTCTCGCCTGAAATATTGATATGCCTCGGACGGCTTCTGATTCTGTGAACGGATAACTATGAGAACCTGCACTAGAGTCCATAGCTACTTATGATTTGGCACATACAATCAATTAAAAAAGAAGAGTATCACGACCATATCCCACAGTTTCTAGATAACTGAACACTCCAGTGGGAGATCTATAGCTATATATAATAGCAAGGGAAAACATGTAAAACAGGCACTTGGCTTATGCTTCATAGAATTTTAATTACTTGACCAATTCTATGGCCACACGGAGATCTCTCTAGACAATTTTGAAGAAAATTTCCTGATTCTATACCGAATATGGTGATTTGGTATTGAATATGGCGATTTTGTCAGTTTATGAAATAAAGATTTACATGGAAGGAAACCTACAATGAGATTGAATCCATTTACTTAAAGTAAATACATAGATTTGACTAAACAAGCAAATACATAGTCGTCACCTAGATCGTGATACCCCAAGGGCGAGCCTTGGTGCAGCGGTAAAAGTTTACTCCATTGTGACCAAAGGTCATGGGTTCGAGTCATTGAAGTAGCTTATCTAGAAACTAGAGATATGGCTGCATACGTGAACCCCTTCCTAGACCCATTCGGCGCTGGGGAGTCTAGTGCATTGGGACGCCGATTTGTTATGTAAAGTCCGAGCTTTAACTATAAGAAAAAATTATTTCTCAATGAAACCAAAACACGGGATAAATTTTTCATGCTATATTTATAAGTAAAGTCCTTGCTTTGGACGATTTTTTGGTCAAAAACTTGAACAACAAATAAGTTCACGATTCGTATTATTACCGGGATGGCCATGCCCCTTTTGAACTACGATATTGGTATGATCTTTTTAATTTGGGTACTTTTACGGTCCAGGTCGACCGAATTGGCAATCCAATCAACCCCACCTCAACTCATTCTATTACGAGATGCTACATGAACATGGTATCATATATTCTGAGTTAATATAGGCTTTTAGGATCATAGAGACAAGTAGGGCTAGTAGTGGTTTAATTTGTTTGATCAGTTATAGACAATGTTGCACCTTATAGATATAAAGCATATACAACTACAGTAGACCGTGACCTTCACCAAACTATTTGTTTAAAACGTACTACAACCCAAATGGCAGATCAACCAACCCATAGCTTCTAATCAGCTGCTTAAGAAAAGAAGACTTCGGGAATGACTAGAACATAGTTTGTCCTATTAACCCAAGTCAGTGCAATGAGTCATGATGAATTCCATTGATCAAGAAAGTGAAAAAAGGAAGGAAATGGAGAGAGCCGATGCAATTAAACCAATGAATCGAAAATCGAGAAATTGAATCCCGTACGATGCAGTTTAACAAGAAGAAAGTACATTTATTCATATTTATATTATTGAGGCGCATCCAACTCTTCAAGTGCAAGAAAGTCATCAGGATTATATTCGTAGCCCTCGAGATTGGAGTGCAAGGAGTCCTCTTCCAAACTTCCACCGCCGGCGGCCGAGTTCTCCGGTGAAGTCAAGAAACCGTCGTGGTCACCGTCGCTGATGCAGTCCTCGAAGAGACTAAGAAATTTGCAGGGATTTTATCCACAATCCTTGAGATCGGAGCACGTGGGTGGACTTCACGAACTTATACTACAGGCGGCTTACTTCCCTGGCAAAGTCAAGAAACCATCCCGATCACTGTCTCGGAAGCAATACTCGAAGAGAGCCAAAATTGCAGGGCAACAAGCTTCGAAACTCTCAAATTCATCGCTCAAAACTTCAGACAACCCAGAGCCACTACCGGCACCGACCTTAATGGATGCATTGTTCTCCAAATCCTCCAATTTTTTGCGCACTCATTCGCGAATAGCCTCTCATTTCCATTGTTGAAATGCCTTGACTAGAGGGTGATCGCTTGCATCTGAAGTATTTAGAGTTTACTTGGTTTTCCTAATTATTTATGTGATGTTATCGCGGTGCTCTGCCCTTATTAGCGCTAATAGATTCGCCCTTATGGCTTCTGATGTTCTATCAGTGCAGTTTTTGCGGACTTTTCAAAGCATATATTAGATCATGTACAGATGCCCGAATCGAACAAATCCACCTAAAGATAGAGCTCAACTCAGAAGCAAGATCACTATTTCATTGAGGGGTCTTTTCTTTTCTTAGAGTATCAGGAGTCATAGTTAAACTTGATCACAGTCAAAATTGTTTGCATACGCATCCCGGTATGCGTAGGCATTTACAAAAAGTCCATCACCGAACATGCTACTCATGGGTATAAACATGCACGATTTTGGTCCTCCGACTCCATGATACATGAAAAGATGTGCAACAAAGGATATTAAGCAACTGAAATAGACTGTTGCTGTTATCCGCATGACAAGGAGGTACTTCATAGTTAGTATCCCAAAGTTTTCACAAATTTAAGAAATTAGCCAAAAACAAGAGGAACTCCTCGCCACGAGATCATGGCAAATGGAAAAGTTATTTTAACAAGCGCGACATACTCAAGAATGAATACACATGTGCTAGAATGATTCGTATAAGTGATGTAGACGATGCAATATATATATATATATATATATATATATATATATATATTTTGTACTCAATATCACAGCCATCGTACATATATTATGTATAAGCTTGTACATAGATGTTTTTGCTGAACAAAATTTCTATGGCCTGTGAGTAATTTGTTCCTAGAAACTAATATTTCACAAGCACAGGTGTGAGATCAAAACATGCTTTGATGGGCTATAGAAACTGGAAGCTGGATAAGAGCAACATATCATAAACAACACATATGATTCTTGTTTTGTGAGATCACGTCAAAGTCCTTGGTTGATGGAGATACACTCTTTTGGAACTTCCACATTTAGATCTGGAGCTTCATCCATCTAATCATCTTTGGTATTCATAGAAGCCTACAGTGATTATTTTTCATTGTGGGAACCTGAGGAGGAAGACAAATATCAAAATATGCAGGCAGATAATCCCATAATGCACACGATGCATATTTGCATTCAGAGCACAGAATAATCACATGATCAATATCACATTGTAATGACTCTGAACACCCAGAAACAGCACAAAAACACAAATACATTCTGCATACAATAGCCAAATCCTGTTTGGTAGACCAATTTTCTGTTCCCTTGCTTTTCTTTCATCTCTTTCAGCAACAATATCACATACAGGATGACTAGAATATTTCAATTGGGGGTCACCCCTCAGAAACTGCATCTGAATTTTGGTCCGACTTGCTACAGGCATCAAAATCTACCCAATAACCAACCTTTAAGTAGAGACGAATAGGGAATGCTTCTTTGCTTGTCCTTTTCAGTAAGAATGCAAGCATTATCCTTCAAACATGAAATTTTCATGTACTTTCACATGTTCCTTTTCTTTATAGTTGAAACTTCCATTACTAAATTTAATATATGTAAATTAGCTGCCACCAAGACTCGAAACCCAAAATTAAAGTCAAAACACCACAGCAAGAAACCTATGCTTCTCCAGCTAGGCAAGTTGGGTCCCTCAGATGATGATCTAAAATAATCTAAAAAACATTACTCCAATCATGTCAACCTCACATGGATATATGACACGTAAACATCACACAAGCATTCATTACGTGGTAAAGATGATATAGATTGATTCAACATCTGGAATTTTGCTTTCTATTGACATTGGTGTTCTCTTTCCTTATTCTTTTTTTATTTCTCAAAAGTTATAGAGACAATTCTTAGTTAACTGTTCATGTAACTCAGGAATGAAAATAGAACAGATCAAAACTGTAAAAGGCCCCTTACCAAAAAAAAAAAACTGTAAAAGGAACAATAAGAACTCAAAAACTAAGAAAGATTAGAACAATCATTGCATAGATGTTTCAAAGCTCCTAAAACAAAGTAAGAAGACTCAGATTTTTCTGCGAACTTCCAGCCTTTTAAAAGCCAGATTTGTTTCGAGATAAAAAAAAACCAGATTTGTGATAGAAGTTCGAGAGAACGTTGGAACTGCAAGGTTGACAGACCTTGTCCAGGTCAGAGTCATCAAAAGGTTGTGAAACATCCAAAACAGTATCTTGACCAGCAGGTTCTGCATGGGGCTCCTGGGAAGAGGCCTCTTTTCCTTGCATATCATGTCCATCATCAATGGAGTCCGGCCGGATACTTCTAGAAGCCTTTGACCCATAGTTATAATAACCATTTTTTATAACAGCACTTGAATTTCCATAGGTTCTTTTCCTGTTACAAGAATAGAGAAGCATAATTAAACCAACATTTGTTAAGTAAAATCGATCAGCTAAATTGGCAAAACAAAAGACTCACCTGCTGGTGCTTGAAAAAGGTATAGGAAGCGCGCTTGGCTCATTGGAAAATAAAATTCCACAGAGAGGTTTTCCGTCTATACAAGTTTCAATAGTGTATTGCTTTCCAAAATTCTCCGTCACTCTCGCCTGAAATATTGATTTGCCTCGGACGGCTTCTGATTGTGTGAACGGATAACTATGAGAACCTGCATTAGGGTCCATAGCTACTTATGATTTGGCACATACAAGCAATTAAAAAAAACAGCATCACGATCATAATCCCACGATTACTAGATAAGTGAAAACTCCAGTGCGAGATCTATAGCTATATATAATAGCAAAGGGAAACATGTAAAACAGGCACTTGGCTTCTGCTTCATCAAATTTTAATTACTTGACAAATTCTACAGCTACACGGAAATCTCTCTTGACAATTTTGAAGAAAATTTCCTGATTTTGTATTGAATATGTTGATTTCGTATTGAATATGGTGATTTTGTCGGTTTATAACATAAAGATTTACATGGAAAGAAACCTACAATGAGATTGAATACATTTACTTAAAGTAAATACATAGATTTGACCAAAAAAGTAAATACGTATACGTCAACTAGATCATGGTACCCTAGGGGTGAGCCTTAGTGAAGCAGTAAAAGGTTACTCCATTGAGGCCTAAGTCACGGGTTCGAGCCATGAAAATAGCCTCTCTAGAAACTAGGGGTATGGCAGCATACATGAACCCCTTCCTAGACCCGCACAGTGCGGGGGAGTCTTGGAACTGGGATGCCGATTTGTTATGTCAGGTCTGAGCATTAACTTCAAGATAAAATTATTTGTCAATGAAAACAAAACACGGGATAAAATTTTCATATTATTATCATAAGTAAAGTCCTTCTTTTGGAAGATTATATGGTCAAAAACTTGAACAACAAATAAGTTCATGGTTCATATTGTTACAGGGATGGCCATGCCTCATCCGAACTGCAATATTGGTATGATCTTTCTAATTCAGCTACTCTTATGATCCAGGTTGCCAGAATTGGCAATCCAATCAACCCCACCTCATACTCAGTCAATTAAGAGATATTACATGAACATGGTATAAAGCATATGTAGCTACAGTAGATCGTTACCTTCCCCCAACTACTTATTTAAAACGTACTACAACCCAAATCGCAGATCAACTAACCCTAGTCCTTAAATATAGTTTTCTTGACAGGTGACGTACCTCATCCTTGTTACCATTCCATGACTTATAGTGAATCGTGATCTAGGTAAAATCTTCATATCTAAAGAAACCTAACATATTAGTAAAATATTCTAACATATGGTAGAATTATTTGCACAAGCTAGTGACTATGCTTTAAAAAATCCTTATTATATTTCCGTATTCAGAATTTCATATTTACAACCACAATTTATGCCCACACGATAGCAACATATGTTGATGCTTATAACTAGGCCAGCAAACAAGTTTTAGAACTCAATGACTCCGTACTTTGGTTCAAAAAATGACCGAACATTGAGGTTCCTACAATACAGGTTCTTATTACATTACCTCGATGACAAATAGCACGTTTAAATACTTAAATAAGGCTAAAATAATAAAAATTGACAAATTCTCCTATAATGTTTCTTTTAGACAAGTAACGCGTGCAACCTTCTCAAAATTCCTTAAGAAAAGGTGCTTAGTGCTCACAAGAAGAGCATTTTGTCCATCCACTCACAAACTCTCTCTCTCTCTCTCTCTCTCTCTCTCTTGCAAAAGGGCATGCTGTAGATTATTCTAGCAAAGCACTTGTTTCTATTACAGAGCAATGACCTATTTCTAGTTATTCTTTTGGTCGAATAACCTTTTTCAGTAACCTATAACCTAATTCAGCAAATGAATTTATAACTACATGCCCATGGTCTGGATATTTTGGAGCTAGATAGATGAATTCATGGTCAAAGTCAACTAAGATGGTGTTTATGGACATAACACTTGCCCTCGGGGTCTACTTATTGTTTGATAGAGTTGAAACAATTAGATTGAAGTAGTGTTGATAAAGCAATGAAATCAGTTATGACTCTCCCCTTTCAATATAGTTTTGGCGAAGTTGCCGGATATGTCCAGCAAATTCACAATATCACTATACTATGCCTAAGCACATGGTAACTCTACTAGTCCTAACTCTAATTTAGAAACTAAAACTAGGGAAGAAGTTCAAAGACAAATTGATGTGGAATCCCATTTGAGAGTTTGAAAACAGGTTCATGGGGTGGAAAAGCCTTATCCTTCCAAGGAAAGAAAAACCACACTTAGCAAGAGCACTCGAGCTTGCTAGTTTACTTTCTTTCTCTCTTTTCTATCCCAGCGTCTGTGGTGAAAAGATAGGAGGATATTCAGAGGAAGTTCTTGTGGCGTAGTACTGATGAAAGACGCAAATATCACCTGGTGATATCAGGTCTGGTCAACTTATTTATATTTAGAGGTGGTTTAAGAGTATGATCTTGGTCCTGTTGTAATAATGCTTTGTCTGCAAATGGCTTCAGAGACATTTAAATGGAAAGAACCACATCTGAAGACAACTCAGACAAGTCATTAAAGCAAAATATGCACAAAACAGAGAGGATGGATCTCAAAGTGTGGGAGGGGTCTACATGGGGTGGGAGTTTGGAAATAAGAAAGCAATGCTAGGATTCTCCCATTAAAACTATTCTATTCACTCCTTAGTGGGCGTTCTATTCTATTTTGGCATTATGATTGGAGCTCATCAACCCCATTGAAAACTCAGTTTCGTAGCTTATTCCAAATTACAAGCAACAAAGAAGCTATTGTTCAATCTTGGGCGAGTTGTGTAAATGGCAATATCAGTTGGGGTGTTTAATTGATTAGAAACATTATTTTTATACTTTGGCTGGTCAATGATGCTTGGAAATTGGTTAGGTCAGTTGAGGGCATTCAGTGGGTAAATGCAGAGACTGTGCAAGGAGAGCTAAGAGCTTTGTTTGGTAGATGCAATAACAAAGAGAAGAAAAGATTACACTTGATCCCTTTGGCTAGTTTGTTGGATAATCTTCAATAGAACAGAGCCATTTTGTAAACATTAATAAGTCGTGGCTTTTCACTTTCATCCATTATCATACGCAGAGATTGAATATTGATGCAAAATGTTATTCCAAAATAAGCTTAAGACAAGGGGCACAAAAGAATAAGTGGTAATTAGCATCAGCTAATATGATCACCATCGCCATCTCACCTTTTATGACTACATCTTTAAATATCAATTATTGAATCAACAACTACATAATGTATAATAGTACCATTAGCGTAACTGATGCTACCACTCACTATATGGCAACTAATATCTCACTGTCAAAAGCCACTGCTAAGAAAAATGTGAATATAAAGCAAATAGCAATCTTGCAGATAGTACGCAAAAAATACACAATATTGCCATAAAATGAAGCTTAAAACTTTGATGAAATTTGAAAAATTTACATCCACGAGAAAAGACTGCAGAAGCTTAAGGTATGAGAGTACGTTCTCAACTCTGTCATCATATAATGGGACAATACGAAATCGATGACCCGGGGGTAACAAAGGAAAAGATTACAGAACTGGAGACAATTGGTATCATGAACAATAGTTTCAAGTCTACATAAAAAAACGTAGAAATCAAATTAAATAGTACTATCTCCACAGCCATTCTTTCTCCCACCAACAAACCCTCATTCAAGAACATGAAAGTAAACATATATTGGGTCCTGACCTGGTTGACCAGAGATCAATAGCGACACAGGTTGATATGAGCTTGTGGATACACCAACTTGCACCAAAGCTTTATCATGTCCTAGAGTCAAATTTTGTTCTTGGCACTTCGGCTTCAATTTCTTCCTCAAGGGTAGCTTTGCTAGTCTTCGCTTGTGTTCCCTAGTGAGTCCTAGAAATGATATAGGAAATTAACTCTCCTGCACATCTTGGGCTTTGAAACCTGAAAATGAACATAAACTACCAAAAGAATGTCCACAAGATATAATTTGAACCTGTGTGCAAGTAATAAATATGGTCAAGAGCCTCGAGACTTCTACTGCAACCACCCACAAAGGCAAGAACCCCACTCCTTACTGGATCCAGACAGACCCCAGCCATGGAAAATCTGGCAGAAGGTCCAGCACCTGCAGTAGTCACCTTGGACCATATCGCAGATTCTGCAAAATCATGGTAACAGTCGAGCAAAATAGATAAAGTACATGAGGACACGCATTTTAAGTTGAAGGAACGAAAGCATGCTTACGTTGCTTTCCCACACTTTTCCAAGGCAACAAGGGAATAGGAAAAAATTAAAAGAAGCAATAGATGATCAGCTCAAACTTTACTTTCCAAATACATGAATGATTAAGCGAAGTTAACTAATCATTGGATATAGAATTGACCGGACAAGGAAAAAGGCCCTATTCTTGAAATAGAAGTTCATCTAGCACTCCAATGTACCGCTCGCATCTCAAAAGAAAAGGAAATATACTTGAGATTTAAAACTGCAATCAGCAAAGCATTGCCTAGAAATATATTAACAAACACATGCTTCATGGAAAACAGGCCAGTAAGAATGTAAGAACTAGAAATTTGAGTCTGACATTATTACATTTCAGCAAATGCATGTATATCTGCATGATCTCTATGGCATACAATCAGAAAGCATATACAGAGCAACAAAAACTTACCAACATCAAGCATATACAGGTCATCATATAGCCTTTGGGCCTCTGTGTATCCCCCATAAACAAACAGAATCTTCCCAAAAGTAACAGTCAAACGTCCACCACGGGGGGGTAGCATGTCGCCGGTGGTATTCAGTTCCTTCCACATCAGGGTATCTAACAAAATACAGTAGGGCCAAAAGAGTAGTAAAAAAAGGATACTAGTGGAGAGAAAAAAAGCAAGAAACCACTATTCAGGTAAACTAATAAAGGCTACAGTAGACAGTAAACCTGCATCAAGAATATGGACATCGGATAAATAGTAATCACGCTCATCTTGACCCCCAATCACAATCATTTTGTTCTTCCAAGTTGAGCAGCTATGGGTAAGACGTGGTGAAGGTGGGATACCAGTTGTCATCGCCTTTTTCCATACAAATGTCTCTGTAGATTATGAGAAGGAAATGCATGAACTAGCATGTTTGTCTACCCAAGGAAGATAGAATACCGAACTCTGCAATATAAATTGATAAACATTTGCAGAGCAGTAGTAACTGATGACACATGCTACAAGTATAGTAATTTGATGAGCAGTAGTAACTGATGACGCATGCTACAAGTATAGTAATTTGATAAGTTGGAGGACACAGCATTCATGGAAAGTAGAGTCTTTAACCCACCCCTCAGACGCACATACAGTAATTTCACAAATAGATGTTAGTGGGGACTAGAGGCAAAGAAGACATGTCGACTTTTAAAAAGAATGTACCTGTGTTCAATATGAAGAGATCATTATGATATACTTCATCATCTTCATCAGGAGACTTTCCATACCCACCAAATATGAACAGCCTTTTACCCACAAGGGCTGCACTATGACCCTGCCTTGCCTCCGGTGCCTCTCCCCTTGTAATTCGTGATATCCATGTATGAGAAGCTATAAAACATATTCGTGAACTACATTAAAAAGAGCCCAACTTCTGCTATTGCAAGTATAATGAAAAGATGCACTGATTATTAGTTGACAAGACTGTATGATGACACCAGGGGCAAAAGGAGATGGTAAATGTAACTTACAAGTGTCTAGAATATGCAAATCCCCGAGAGGGTTCATCCCATCCGTCCCACCAAACACAAACAAATTGTCACCCACATTAGTACAGCTATGGCCGTCCCTTGGAGCAGGTGGCGTGCCTTTTATTGTGGGCTGGCTCCATGTTTGCTCCACTGCGAGTCAGAAAAAAACTAATTATCAATTGAAAAAAAAGAGGAAAATCACAACATAAGAAGACAAGTAATGGCAGATTCATATCTCTCTCTCTCTCCAGAAGCCTCAACAACTTCCACATGCCACAATAGGTAAGCTCCAATGGAACACGAGATCACGACAGAAAAACTAGAAGGCAACAGAAGTTGGAGGTACACCGAAAGCCATCCCTCACGAAATTCCAGCAGTAAATGTAAACACCAGCAAAATGCAAACGGGGAGAAAGTCAAAAACAGCTTCAGTAATTGTTCAAGATGAAGAAGTACAGGAAAATATTTGTCATAGCAATGCCATATATAACAATCATTGGACATAGAACATCGCGAAAAATTCTCTTCCATCCCACACATTCAATGCATAAAACTAGCCACAAATCACTGATTCAAGAGCCAAGCCATTGATTAATGTAAAAACCAACAACAAACGAAAGGAGTCAGCAAGTTATAACACAACCAAAAAAAAATGAAATCCCAACAAGCAGAATTGCACCAAAAAACACCAGGAGCTCCAAATCAGACAGAAAAAGAAAAAAGAAGAGAAAAGAACCAATCTTTCTCTCAGCAAAAAATGCAACTTTGAAGGAAAACCAGAACCTTCATAAGATAAACGCGAAGACCCACCAGTGTCAAAGACGTCAACTTGGTTGGTCTGGCACACGTCTTTCCCAAAGCCACCGAACACGTAGAGAAACATCCCTCCTTTGACGGCATTGCAAGTGTGGCCCCACCTCTTTCTGGAGCCACCCGACTCTTCTCTGCCCTTCTCTGTTTCCTGGGCTTGCGGCAACAGGACTCTCTCCCACCTCATTTTTCTTTCCCAGGAATGTCAACCGACAACACAAGGGGCCAAGAAAGTGCGAGAAAGTGAGAGCCTTTCAAGAAAAGAGAAGGATTTTGATGTTTGAGAAGAAGACTGTCTGGCTTTGGTGTCATGCAGAGAGCAAAAGACCTGAACAAATGTGGACGATGCAGCAAAAAACGAGGGAACGCAGGAGCGTTTCTTCTTCTTCTTCTTCTTCTTTTCGTCCTTTTTTTCTTGCCAAAAAGTTTTCATGTATACAGAATTTTTTATAATACCTTTTTTGGCCCTTTAGAATAAGATCAAGAAGGATCATATTAGGAAAAATTGCCCAATATATAAAGTCGCTCTAGGGCTAGCAATGTCAAAGCCAAATCCGGCAAGAAAAATATGCCATTTAATTCAATACCAAAATTATCAATTGGCAGAATTATGTGTACTAAAAAGCACAAATATGGACATAAATTGAATAAAGGATAAAGTAAAAAAGAATATGCATCTTGTCATTGGTATTTAGATATTGCCCTTTTAACTTGCATGCTTTAGGAAGCATAAATATTTGAAGTGCATTATTAGATTTAGAATGGAGAGAAAAGAATATATTTTGGTAACTAAATATTTGAAGCTTTAAATTGTAGATAAACTTTTCAAGTAATTAATTGCTAGTAAAATTTAGAAGATGAAAATGGGGGAGTTACTAAACCTCAATTCATGCGATAAGATGAATGTTGAGCTCATCCTATTTTCAGAGAGGCATTTCGATGCCAAGTATTATGACACCACTAGAGTGTTCGTCGTGCTTGGATAAGGAATCTTCTAAAGAAAAGTTGCCACTCTAGTGTCTAAAGAGAGATGTTTAAGCTCTTAGGCTGCATCTTGTATTGGATGAGAAACTTGCAGGATGCTATAAATGCACCTGAAGAGTTCATGCAAGTATATCTAGATCAACGCGCATTTATGGATTATTTCAGGGAGTGGTGGTTATCATATATAGGGCAAAAGTATACCACAAGTGCCATAACTTATGTACGACGATCACTTTGGTGCCATAACTTTTTTTCGGATTACTTTGGTGTCAAGTCGAAGGAAAAGAGATCACTTTAGTGCTAATTTGGCCGGAAATCCGACGTGGCATTTTTTATTAATTTTTGACGCCGACGTGACTCGCCGGAGGCTGAGTCAGCGTGTACAGTCAGCATTGTTTATTTTAAATAAATTTTTTCAGCGTGTACAGTCAGCATTTTTAATTTTAAATATTTTTTTTCTTTTTTTTTTCTTCTTTTCTTTTCTTTTCTTTTCTTTTCTCCCCTCGCCGGCCGGTTGCTGGTGACCGGCCGGCCACCGGCGAAGCCCGGGAAGGGCTGGGTGAGGGCGGCCTTGCCCATGGCCGGCGAGGGGCGGCCGACCCTCGCCGGCGACAGGCGAGGGCTACCCTCGCTCGACGCCGGCGAAGGTCGCCCTCGCCAAATTCGGCGAGGGCGACCCTCGCCGGCGTCGGGCGAGGGAAGCCTTCGCCTGGGCGGGCAAGGGTCGCCCTCGCCGGATCTGGCGAGGGCGACCCTTGTCGGCGTCGGGCGAGGGTCGCCCTCGCCGGCGTCGGGCGATGGTCGCCCTTGCTGAGTCGGGCGTGGGTGACCCTCGCCCGACGCCGGCGAGGATCGCGCGGCGACCCTCGCCGGCGTCGGCGAGGAAGCCCTCGCACAGGCGGGCGAGGCGGCCTCGCACAGGCCGGAGAGGGGCGGCCTTGCCTGTTCTTCGGTGAGGGTCGGTCGTCCCTCGCCGGCCATGGGCAAGGCCGCCCTCGCCCAGCCCTTCCCGGGCTTCGCCGGTGGTCGGCCGGCCACCGGCAACCGGCCGGCGAGGGGAGAAAAGAAAAAAAAGAAAAGAAAAGAAAAAGGAAAGAAGAAAAAAAAAGGAAAAAAATATTTAAAATAAAAAATGCTGACTGTACACGCTGAAAAAAATTATTTAAAATAAAAAATGCTGACTGTACACGCTGACTCAGCCTCCGGCGAGCCACGTCGGCGTCAAAAATTAATAAAAAATGCCACGTCGGATTTCCGGCCAAATTGGCCCTAAAGTGATCTCTTTTTCTCCGACTTGACACCAAAGTGATCCGAAAAAAAGGTTATGACACCAAAGTGATCGCCGTACACAAGTTATGGCACTTGTGGTGTACTTTTGCCCCCTATATAGGTATTATTTAATTGACCTAAAATCTAAAATCGTGCTTCTTGAATTTGAAATTGTTGATGGCTTTAAAAGGTGTTGGTTTGCCCAGAACTTTGACATCTCTTTTGTCTTGCAGATGTTTTGATTAATGGTAGGAGGCTTTGCCAACAGCTGGTCCTGAACCCTAGGCTGCAATTGAGTCTTACCACCTAAGACTGAAGTTATGGCCAAGAATCGACTGGTTGATCCACATGTTGGCAACCGAATATTCCTTTTACGTGTTGGCAACTGGATATCACTCTTTATTTTGGTTGGATCAGTATTCTCTAATGATTGGGTTTTTGAGGATGTTAGGGACCAGAGTTTCACAAGTAATGCTTGGCATTAGGCCCTCGAGATTCTAAATGTGGAGGTGATATTGGACGTTCGAAATCTGCTGTTTGCAAAAGTTCTCTCTAAAGATGGAAGCTGAGTCTACACAGTGTGGAAACCAGGTTCAGAGTTCTCCATATGTGATTGCTCTTGGTCAAGGCCCGGAAATCTATGTGAATAACAGTAAGGATAATAATACTCACAGAGTAAGTTTGATGAAAATAAAAAAAATTGATACGACTGGTTTATATTGAATGCCTAAAGGAGCTGAATAAGTTAAAAAACTGTTTAGTATTTGTCACATTATTTAGTAAATTTCATAGAGTACTCGAGTTTTTTAAGAGTTAATACCATGAAAAATCTCAAACTGGTATACTTGTGACAAATTTACTCTCCGAAAGTTTCCATTAAATTTTACTGTTAAATTGTTGAGTTGAATGATATGTAACAGTTGATGGGTATACCGATTTGGGATTTTACCCCTCCGTTTGTCACATGTTTACCAATTTGTGATTTTTTCTGGTATTAATCCAATTTAACAGAGGGTAAATTTGTCACAAGTGTACCGGTTTTAGGTTTTTTATTGTCAAAAAATTATTTTTGGGTAAATTTGTCACGGGATTATCAGTTTTGAGTTTTTGGTGGTCAAAAAATTTATTTTGGGTAAATTTATCGCATGTGTACTATTTTGGAGTTTTTCGTGGTATTAACCCGTGTTTTAATCTCAAGCATTACTTTTCTTTTTTTGGTCACTTTCCAAAATTAGCTATTGATTGAGCTTGTTAACAATCCAAATTATTAATATCAAATTTGAAAAAAATCAAAATTATCAATATAAAATCCGAAAACCTTAGACTATTAAATAAAAAATCCTGGAGGTTGGCAAACTTATTTTCACAGTCACAATAAGATGCTAGCAAATTTTCCAATTACCTTGATCGTTACGGTTACATAGGATTTTATTTTGGTGTACCCTCTTACGTGCAAATCGAACTAAAAACCACAAGAAAGAACGCATGTGGAGTTAAAGTAGTAAAAAATTATTATTCCACATGACCTTAATATAAAATTTCAACGGGACTTACACATGTACTGCCTTTAAACGAAGAACTTAAACATTGGTACGGGACGTTATCAAAATTAGTTCCGCATACTTCATACCTCGTATTTATTTTGTAATTGTGACTCTTTGTTCTTCAATTTTAATGTGCATGGATGTTTGAATTTTATCACACCGCTTGAATACATGACTTTAATGAGTCTCCAATACTTTTAGTCTCTCTATGCTTAAGCGTTTAAGCTTTTGGTTAGACTTTCTAACAAAAATCGATTGAGTCAATAAAATCTTAATTAGATTAAAAAAAAAATTAGCTTGCCAAAAAGCATTTATCTGTACTTCGAGCTATAACGATTGAGGTGATCGGTCTAATTATCATCTTTGCTTTGAATTTTGGGAGACACTAACACATGATTAACATCATTGGTCATGTTTGGGGCACTCTTATAATGCCATGAGATCACAAAGCACAATGTTGTCGTGAATGATTTAGCGGCTAACAATAGTCCGACGATATATAGTATTTCTTGATCCACCGTTGACAATTAATCTCCTTGATCTGGCGGTTCTTAACTTGCACAACAATATGATATGGCTTAGCTTCATGACACCATATCAAGGTCCTCATGCCAACTTCAGATTCCACCACAATTGATTAATTATTTAGGTATGCAATTTCGCAAATTATTGTTCGTACTTTTGAATTTTGGATCGGTTAATGTTTTAGCAGTTTATATTTCTTTTGTCTTTGAATTTGTTGGAAATTTTCTAGTTTAATTTATTTATGTTATCTATATTTTGTAAACTTTTTTGTTTCGACCAAAGAGGGGAAAATGAAAAAGGAGAGGAGGGGGCAAGAATCCTACCCGACCTATAAGATAAGAAACTCAAGAGCTGCCTCATACGCGACTGCACCAAAGTCCACACGGCCCTCCTTGTGTTTTGGCGAGGCATGTTTATTTTCATTGGTGCTCGTGCTGCTCATCTCTCTCTTTTCTTTTCCCATTTTCTTTCATTGTGCTGAGATTGATCAGTGGTCATTTGCCTTCTACATGATTGGTTATTTGTGTTGGGAACGCTTGGTTAAGGATTTATCGATCTAATCTCAACTTGACTCATCTATTGACCATGTTTATAAGTGATTAGACATCATCATGTCAATACGGCGTGCAAAATTTTTTAATGTTAGTAACGTCACGGTAGCATTTTGACTTGATAAATAGTGGCAACGATCAGAGGATCAATAAATGTCGTACATCTAAAAAGTTAGGGAGTTTAATTACACAAAAGAGCTAAAGGAGGAATTAAGAAAAGCGCAAGTCATAAGAGCTGAAATCAGACCGATTTTTTTTTTAATAAATCAATTCCACTGTTTTTCTTGTATTTCGGTACTTTTTCTTAAAACCTAGGTAGGACATCATTTTCCAAGTTTACATTATTTACATATATATCTCTCTTTTATATCTCCCATGTTGCTTCGGATCAATAAAAACATATAAAGCATTTGATGCTATTTCCATCGAAAATAATACAAACAAATTTTTTACTCTTTTTTTCCTTTGATTTTTACTTTTTATGAGAGCTTATGTTAATC